TTTTTTTTGGTTAGAGTAAGGTGCCGTTTATCCGGGTAAGCGCTTAACAAGTCATTTTACTTTACCGAATGAATATGGCAAAGACTAATAATCTTACTCGGTAAGAGCGAAGGCAAGAATCGAAAGTCTTACCGAGTAAGGGAGGACGAGGACGAGGACTCTTACCATGGTTAGCGCTTACCGGAATAAATTGTTGCATACGATGCGTTTTAATAAATAAAATATTACCCGATAAATAAGGGATAGTGTTGAATTTTTGCTTAATAGGTAAGTGTTTAGGTAAACGACCCTAAGTTTTTAATATTTATTATCATAAATAATTGTTACATTTTAAGTTRTTCGACATACATAATTATATATATCTAAAATATTTATCATCATAAGCAATAAGAGTGTTTTTTTATTTTGATATTGATTTTATGGCCGTTTATCAACACAAACCGAGTAAATTCTTGGTCATCAAAGTAACAAAATATAGACGTATTTTTACCCGATGAACACTAACCAAGTTTAAGTTATCACCTTTATTTATTGGRTAAGATTTTCAATTTAGTAAAATAACACGATAAGGTTGTTGATACAGACCAACATTTCTTACTGGATAAACACCTCTTACATGATACGAGACAATGTTTTCTTATTCAAGAAAATACAACAAGGGCCCTTTTCAGTTGTGGTATTTTGATGCGATTTGAAAATCGGATGCATTCCAATCACACGTTTGGTTCAAAGAAAAATGCGGAATTGAAATCCRGACGATTTCAATGATTTCTATTCTATTCTGGAAAAGGGTCAACACCTAATAACTGGAATTACTTTYGAATGCTTTGATTACTTGATACTTTTAGTACTTGCTTCTATAATCTTAAAAGGCTCGTTAATATGTCGAGTCGAGTTCGAGCGACCTATTCGAATCAAGTGTTGACCGAGTCGATCTCGAGTAGCTAACGAATTGTCTCGTATCGTTTACACCCCTATTCGGGATTCGGGATTCGGGAACATGAAAACTAAGTTCTTGGGCATGGGAGACATGGGCCGTCGCCCAGGGCATCATCAGCCCAAGTGACGTCAGGCCCAAGCCCGCTATACTATACCTCMTCCGCTCGTCGGTTCCAGACTTCCAGTCCTCGCTTCCTCGGCCGGCGGCTGATCTCCATTTTCGAGACTCCGTTCTCGTCTTCGTCTTTCCTCCCGGCTCCCACTCCGGCTCTCCGTCTTCGGTCTTCCCCTTCCCAAATCGGYGCTCCCTCTCCGTCTCAGGTAGTCTTCGGTCTTCTTCCCCTTCCCTAATTGGTACTTTTAATTGAAATATCTCTGGTTGAGTGGTTGTCTTTTGCGAAGTAATAGGCTAACCAGGTTGCATCATGTTCAATTGTTCATGTAAGTGTGATTGTGTGAAATTAACCTTATGGAATGTGAGTCCATTTGTAAGTGTGAAACTGATTGGATCATGAAAGCGCAAGTGAAACAAATTGCATCATGTTCCATTAAGCATTAAGTTTAAATCAAATTACCGTACACTTCATGATCATGTGTTCGTAAAAATAATCTTTGTATGAGTTCTGTTGATGAATTTCTTCAACAGTCGTGACAGTACACTTCATCCTAGATCCGTGGAGTTTTACATATGGGAGATCTTAAGGTTGCTCACTTGCTTAGCTTTAGAACTTCTTGTAGGAAAGAAAAAGAAGTGAACAAGACATATTAGGTGAACGTTCCCACTCCAACATATACGTATAATATATAAATATTTGAGCATTGAGATAGGTGTACGGTGAAACGAAGTCACTGTCTGAGTAAGGTGGACTAGCTGTCAGACAAAACAGAAAACAGAGGGCTGTGTCTCCTCATTTATCACACTTTGAAGCACTACAAATAGGCTTCCTAACCCTCATATGAAATGATCAACTAATTGAACTAGAATAGGATGTGCTTCTCCTTTCTAAAGTTCATATTCTCTAGTTGGAAAGCAAAGCAAAGTCTCCCCTAAAACTCATAAAAACTACGTTGGAAACGGGAGGGAAGGAGTCTTAGACCAAGAATCAGGAGCCTGAGATTGTGGATTTTGAGTGACTATTTCAGGTAAATCATTACGTTTAAACCTCCAATATTTGTTGTTGATGCGTAGAGGTGTTGTACAAGTCCATTTGTGGGTCATGTTGGGTACAATCATGGCCATCTCAAACTCTTATGTGTTTCGATTTAGTTAAGTCGTTGTAAAAGGTTGGGACTTGGGGTTGGGTTATTAATATTATGATGTTGGAAACTGAAACTCACCAATCGACTTGGAAATTCCAAACAGTTTATCCCTTATAAATTGTATTTGTGGCCGTATAATTAACACAATGTTTACGAACACCAAAACCTTTAGAGAGCCCATATTGATTATAGAAATCATATGCAATCTTTAGGTTATCAAAGGTTCTTCTACTAATTGAATTCCCACTAAAACCATCAGAAATAGTTGATGGTCTCAACTCTCAACTTCTCTATCATCTTGTATGTGATATAAATTGTTATCAATTTCTTCTATGAAAGCATATTGTGCATTATCATTTGAATTACAATGAGGATGAAATTAAACAAGACAAACATCACTAAGTTAAACAAAACAAGTTTCACAAATTAACGGGACAAACAGGATTATACTTGTCTCAGTTACATTGTTGAAACCAAGGATTTGGATAGAGAACAGAACAAATTTTATTTGGGTGGAAAAATTGGACATTACGCAAAGAACAAAAACAAATACGAGGGATTGTGATAGTGAAGGTGTGAAGAAGCTAGACGTGAATGAATTTGATTTTAAATGCACTTTTTAGCATGAGCATCACCGTTGATGTTAGCAGTTTGCCACATCTTTTTGCCATCCGTCATAGAATCAGTTTTTTACTGAATTGAATGCTTAAGTGGCTCCTTGATGGTGCCCAAAGGTATCTGACCAAGGCTCTTGAAACGTTCTTATGCGTTTGGCTTTTATCATCTCCAGCTCGCACACTCTGGTACTCTCTTGGCTGTCTCTCTTATTTTCATTGCACGCAACCCACATCACATACTTAGACAGCCATTTACGCTTGCAATTACTTACTAACATAACTAATCTGGGATTTAAAATTTAGATCTTTTGTCTGAATTATATTTAATTTTTATTCAACATAGGAGTTTCTTCCAGTTTGGGATTTGTGTATGCACTGAAGTTAGGGACTTTCCTTGTAATTTGGGTT